CTCGAATTTCAGTCGTTTACAGTGACCTCCCTTCAGGAATAATGTTACACTCGAAACTTATATATACTACCTACCGTACCTACTAATACTATATAATATAATAACTATATAGGTACTTATTACATCAAAAACAAGTTCCCCGGGATATTAATCTTAAAATACTATAATTAAATTTATATACAAAACTAAAAACAATAGTAAAAGTAACATTATAGTTTAAAAATAAAAATTCCCCTGCAAGAGTAATTCCTGATCTATTTAGGTAGGTACCTACTGTCATTTCACCAGCGCCTGTACCAATTTTTTTTTATTTAATTTTAATGAAATACAGTAGATCGAGATATTTTGTTGTTTGTATCAGACTTTGTAGTCTTATGGTTGTATAAGGAATGGGGATGGCACGATTGCACAAATTGACGAACGATGCTTTGTACTGCAGTATAGGTAATAGGTATACCGTATATACTATAATAATATGTTGCAGAAGATTTATGGAGCATTTATTTCTTATAAGGAAACTTAGTTATATATACATATAGGTAAAGGTACACTATTATACGTTATTATATTATATCTAATAAATAATAATAATATCAATTAGTTATCTCTTATTTAGGTATTGTATTAAATAAATAATTTTTACAAATTAATAATTTTGTTGAATTTTTTCTGTTGATTATTACTCATAAATACCTAGATACATATTATTATTACATATAGTTAATTGATAAATTACATGCGATAAGCATGCTGTTTTGTGCATGTTATTCCGTGTTCGTAGAATTTTAATGTGTTTTTTGATCACTGCAGTGAGGGTAATAAAATATTTTCCGGTAAATAAAAAATTTAAATTTAAATAATTCCACTGAACGAACGACTAAACATAAAATAGAAATAGAATTTCTCGTAAAGAGCATTTTATGAGGTTATTAAATCAAATAAGTAATACTACTAATACTATTACATAGTTTTAATAAAAAATAGTAAAATACTTTATATAGATTACAATTTATAGGTAGGTACCAACACTATACAAATAGGTGTATACAGTTTCAATAAATAATAGGTAGGTATGTGTATTATAAAGTAATCTATAAATGCAATTGGGTTTTCTAGGAAAATAGTTAGAAAAAATAATACTTATATTTTTGTCACAGAGTTGGATCTTATTCAAAATCATTATTAGTATTTAGTAAAAAAAAACGTTGAACGTTAAAATTGAACTCGTTTTATATAGCTTGAAAGTTGTCCAAGTATTCTTATTCAAAATTCTCTAAACTCTATATTTATAATATATATAGGTATATGTTATACATAATTAAAAATATAATTTTTATTAGTACATAATATACATTTTAATGTATTTACTATAACTACTATACTATAGTAACTATAGTATAGTAATTATACCCTTCATATTTATATAATACAAATTTGGTTTTTTACTACCTTTTGAAAAGTGAAACAATGTGGGTCGCGAAAGATTTTTCGAGAGAAATTTGGGTTGTGGTACTAAAAATATTGAGAAACACTGCTATAGTTGATATTACCATTTTTGTCATTTCTATATTATGTGTTTATTTATTATACTTAGATAAATAGGTATCTGCAGCTGCAGAATGCAGATGTATATTATAAAATCTAAATTTCTAATAAATACAATGGTGTTTTAGTCGTTTTAGATAAGCATTTTAGTAATCTAGTAATATAATTGTATGACTTGTTTGAAACTTTATAATTATGTATGTTTATGAAGTTGAATGTATGACTGTACAGTATACATGTTTAATAACCACTCGTTTGTAATTCGGCCATGTTAGTTATGAAATATTATTCTTAGCATGAGGTTTAAATTTAAATAAGCTTATAACAGGTAATAACTTAAGAAATTATCTAACTTTTAAATGATTAATTGTATTTTTACACACTGTTTCATATAACTATACTATATATAGGTAATGATATTCCCGGTGCTGTCGTGGCTAAATAATGCCCATAATCGTTATATAATCTTTGGAGAAACTATATAGAAAATGAATGCAATGAAAATTATATATTTTTTAAATGATTCTATTCTGCACACCACAGAATAGATTTGATATTATCGTACACATTTTGGTGAACAAAGGGATGATGTAGAATAATTTACATACAACCAAATTCAACCAATATAATTAGTTACATAGCTAGGGGGAGAGTTTGGGTGTATAACCCCCCCCCCCACTCGTTGACATTTTTTCCCCTAGTAAATGTTTTATTTATATACAAAAACTGGAAAACTCTGGTTTAATTTAAGCTAAGCCCCCCCCCCTATTTCAAAATCCCGTCCACGCCACAGACTACAGGTGTCAGGTATTATACATAAATACATTTGTTTTAGAAAGTTTGCTGAGCTCTGATCAGACTACTATTGTTACAGAGGTGAACCAATAGAACAATATTTTATATCGGCTACTTAATTTCAGTATGTTTGTAATATATTATAAATATTATGCATCTAATGCTATAGGTACCTAAGAAATATGATATTATTCTATTTTGAATTGTATTATTTATGGGGTTGGCATAGATTATAGACGCAGTTTAGCAATGTATTAAAAAGAGATTGTGATTGATTCACTGCAGTGAAGAGATTGAAATTTGAAGGGCATTATTAATATTTCATTGCAACTGCTAACTGTCGCCCCAACAAATCTATATTCGATAATGAAAGTTAATGAATTTCCCCGAGGTGGCTGAGTATATAATTATATAATTTCTAAGGTTTTAATAGTACAAATGAAAAAAAAAACACTGCAGCAACTGAGTTTAATTTAGTTTAAAATACTTCTAAAAATATGTTAAGTAATTTTTGAGTGGCTCTCCTTCCACCATGTCACTTTTAAGTAGATGCACTTAAATTTAGTCTTAAGTATACACCAATGACTATAAACAGTATATTAATCAAGTGGCTAGAGATATATAAACAAAATTATACTTGTTATTATATTAATTAAATTGTACTTTTTTCATCGACATTTTCATATAGTGAGACATTAAGTTTTATTCTATTCGCAAATAAATTGAAGAGTTTATCTAATAGTTTAATTTTATAATAGTAAATGCAACTTCGATGATGTTCGAACGTATTACAACATGGTTTGGCTATTTAATTATGATAATATAGGTACATTACCTAAACCTATCAATATTGATACAATGGTAGGTACTCATAAACAGTTTTTAATCCTTTCAGATAAAACTATATAACACCTGTATATACCAATTAGTTTTATGGTTGTATATAAATATATAATATACACTACAAGAAGTTAATAATAAATTTAAAAAAAAAAACCTTGTATAATCTTGATGCTATATAGTAGAGTTCAAATATATACATACTAGTAGTAATAAGTACTTGAAGTGAGTATATTATATGTAATAACTAATATGTATATACTATTTTAAGTTTATACATATAATAATATTTAAGGCTTGGGAACCTGAATACTTCTAGAAATCAGACGTAGATATAACGACTTCGCTTTATAAACATATTATAATAATTAATTTAAGTTTGGGCTGTATAATGTTGGTCACAGACGCCGCACTACAGTCCTCAGAAGCTCTTTATTAGTACAAAATATTACCCTTATAGTCTACGGTATACCTATATTATATTTTTGGTTGGTAAAATATTATAGTTTTGTGCAGTAACCACTAACCAGTACCTACGTAAATTCCTATAATGACAATAACCTCCAAGTTTCCCATATTCGACCGCCGATGCATACGGTGCAGTATATTATATTATGATACAAGTATAAATACTTCTTCATTAGTCTATATACTCTATACGATATCGTCGTTCGTCGTTACTTGAGAGTAGCTATAATGTTAGTATCTGCACATGGCAGAATAATCCGAAACGTTTGACATTCTCCAAAAACCCAAAAACCGTAGACCCTGTCAAGATTATCTGATTAATCATATAACAGCTGCCAGCCTCCGGAGTCTGGACATCATTGGGTGCACCGGATTCACAATATACAATATATATGCTCGTATAAGATGTAACACACATACGATAGATATAAGTATGATTTATGGGTCGTCAAGCTCACAATTTACTGCTTACAAATATATATATATATCGATGGCGTAGTGTGATAAGTGACATTTTTTTGAAAAATGAGTTAAATGCTTAATCAATTTAATCATACAATTCTGCACATTATGCCCAAACGTTGTAAGTGAATAGTTCATTATTTACTCCGATAGACGTCGTACAGTTCGTTACATTTTTGAATTTGTTATAACATCTCAAACTTAAAAATCGTTCTCCTGAACAATTACGAAAATGTCACTTATCAGTTATCACACTTGTGCGCTACGCCATCGATATATATAATATGTAGGTAATACCTAAGTGCTTGTACAATATACATAGGTATTTTTTACGCTCCACGTTAAAACTATATACTTACAAAATATACAATATATGCTATGTACACACTACATAACATACTATTTGCAGGAGTGTATAAACATAATATATATACTTTATTATATTAAACGTGGTCTTATCTTATCTTATTCTAAACACTACACTGCAGGGGTGAGGTTATCACTAAATCTGTCAAACAGACCCCAAGCCAAACCATTGACGGCGGCCGTCCCCTTATATAAACTAAAATAACACACGTGTGTGTGTGTATGTATATACGTAATGATTCGGTTCTGTTCGGTGTGTTTGTTTTGGTTTATCGGACCGGCAGAACAGATAGCGAAGCGTCGTACCCGATCCCCACGTGGAAGCCTGTTAACTGTTTGATGTTCGTTCACGATAATAGCGATATATATAACATTATATTATACAAGAAATTTATTTTAACTTATATTAACTTATATACAACTTATATTGTAACCATATAGACTGTCTTACTCTTACACATGCACAATATACAGGGGACGTCTAAAATCCAGTGCCCAAATAATCGTAATATAACCTTATAAACTCATCTATACGTCTGACTTTTCAATCGCACCACAACAGAGTCCGTCCTCTCATCACTACGGCCAACGCAGGTTACCGTATCCGTTACCACAAGCCGCAAGTCGGCTTCTATCTTTTGTAACCGTAGCAAAGACGACGAGACTACGGATACCGACGTCTCAATCTCGCTGTCTTCTACAGGGGAGGCTGCTACAGGTGTCATCAACGTAGCAATAGACGTTCCGGTACACGGTGAATCGATGGCAACTGTAGGCAACTCAGCGGAAGTAACTAAAGGCCATTCAATTTCGGGTGCATCGCCACTGCAATTTGCACCCACGGCCATATTGGGCAATGACACAGATCTCTTGCAGTGCACCGGCAGACTATAGAAATCTCAGTTTTCCAAAGGTTTCTGTCCATTTTCTCGGATATCGTCGATAGCCGGCAGTATTATATTGGGAGTAGACTTGTACCCGGTCTCTAGTAGTGTTTCAGCTGCAGAATTTTTCAGCAATACCATGTTAGGACACGACACAGCCCTTTCGTGCACCAGCAAACTAGGGAAATCACCGATGTCCGACGGCTTCTGTTTACTTTCCTGGATATTGTCGACAGCAGGTAGGTTAGGCATTGATTTCCATCCGAATTCTGTTACTTTGGCTGCATAATTTGTCCACGCGGCCATGTTAGGTAAAGACATAAACCGTCTGTGAACCGGCAAGCTATTGAAATCGTAACCATCTAACGGCTTCGGTCTGTTTGACCGAAGATCGTCAAACACCATTTGCATAATTTCGTTCTCGGACAGTTTCTGGTTAACGGACGAAGCTGCACTATTTGACATGTTGGTATTATGATAAAAGTAGAATAAACAGATTATAAATTATAATATGAAAATACGATTTAACTTTTAGACGAAAGTAGGTAAATTAATTCGTAATGTTCGCAAGACGTAACAAATTAATACTGATGAGTAATAACTGTGACAGAAACAAATAATACATTTTCCAAACACTTATGCACTTGGCAACAAGATGTTTATTAATTTTGTAAAACTGAAAGTATCTTTTTTTTTACATTATGTAGGTACAAGTGTACAACAATTATATATTAAATTCTTATTTTTATTCTTTAGTTATAACTTATACTGCTGAAGTACAAAACTAAAAATTATTTTATTATTTAAATGAAACCTATTGTTTTTAGATGAATGGATATTTGCTATGTATAGTAGGTATATGGAAAAAAAACCACGGGAAAAAAACCAAAATGATAATATAATCAATATTTTTGTGAAATATCTTTTACCTTAATTCTAAATGTCTTTGTAATAAATGGACAAAGCTGAGCACAAACTATAGTTAGTTTTAATTTATATTAATTTAGTGACTTAATTAGTTGAATTTAATGTGTAAAATAATCTAATCTAACTGGTTAAAAATAATAAGTAACTATAGTTATTTTTGTACCTAGTTTATTTTTTCATTTATTGAATGATTAAATTTCTTATTTTGTTGTATTCTATTATTCTAGTGACTGATATTCCAAGAAATTAAGGTTATTGTCTACCTATTTGATAAGTTTTAACAAATTATCAGTTTACAGTTGTTTAATTTCATTTTTCATTCATAAATCATCACCAATAATTCAAGCTAGTTACCTACCTACCAACTTAATAATTAATTTATATAATGCATTACATTTAAAAAAATGAATTTTTAAATTTATATTTTAAACTAAATAAAAACTTCCTTCTAACTTCTACTCTAACTTAAGTTACTATTTGTATCAAACTAACTTCTATTTAACCAACTGAGTTAGAAATTTGGTAAATTTCAGAAACTTATACTCTAACTTGATTACTTTTTATACTAAAGTAACTTAACTTTAACTACCTAGTTAAAAAAGTGACTAACTTGCCCAGCTTTGAAATTGGATAAAACCAATATATAATTAATTGTATAATATTTGAATGTATAGTTAATTTATATATATTTTTTATAATATTGATAACACAGCAAATAGATTGTATATTATATTTTGTGATTATGCTAATTCTCTGATTATATTATCACTTCGGTTTTTTTCCGTGGTTTTTTTTTTTCCCGGGATTCGTATAGTACCTACGTGTGTAAAGACGTCTTGAGTGCAATTGGAAAAGGTAATTTTAATCGCAATTTTTAAATTACCGTTCCATTATCTGACGTTATTGTAACCGAGTACCGATTATTGTATAGGTAACTATGCAATATAGTAGCAAATTTGATAAAATGTCATGGGAGAGGGGTTGATTTCTTTTTCACCTATATGGCTATATAATATACCTGCATGCAGAGCTATAAGTTAAAACTATATATTATAGTATCTAACTGTGTAAGTACAACCATTGAATACTGTTTTTGTAAATGTATTTATTTTATTATTTTCTTAGAACACAAATTTATTGTTCAAAATATATTTAACTATTATGTTTGACATTCATGTGACAATACCTCTATAATATTATGTAGGTATATGGTAAGAACTTAGAATGTTAAGTGGGACATTCCCACTTTTTAGAACTTTTAGCTATAGGTACTCTCCCAAAATTTCTTCAAGCTCCTCCTCCGATTCCCGCATATATTTATATCTAATAACTGGGTACTCTTAATATTGCAGTCTGTGATTTTTTTCCAGGACACTATTACAAGAAACATCGCTGCAAGTCCATATCAATTTTAAAAGCATATTATCTGTACGCCGGGACCAGAATACCATGCTATGATATTATGTTCACTGCACGTGCAGAAATGCGAAAAATGTATGGTTTTTCTATATCCGCGAGTATGATGATAATTATTATATAATAATATTATTATTGCCATCCTGGCCGAATCCACTCACCGTCACGCAGTGAAACTGGAAACGTCAAGAAATCAGTGCAAATAACGGCTGTATATAATAGTGAATAGTGATATATAGGTAGCCAGCCAGGTATATGTACTTACATATGTGTGTGTATACTGTATACATATATATATATATGTAATGTGTTTACCCCCACTCTCGTCTCTCAATATATAGAGGTTAATATTATACGAGTATTATATGTATGGTTGACATGCCTACCTAGTATATATACCATATAATATATATTATATATAAATATATATATATATATATATATATTGTATAATATACTGTATATATAGTCTATTGTATAGTATATAGGTACATATACCTATATATTAGTATATTACGATCTGCACAACAAGCACATTCTTTGGATAGCTACACGTTTCTAGATATGTACCTATAGGTATATAATATGTGTACAGGTATATTATATAGCTGGTAATCATATATAACGAGCGTACACGACTGATTTTTAATGTATGCAAATGGATTCTATATTGACGCGTGATTGACAGAGTGCGAGCAAGAATGACATTTTATATTTATATACAGGGTGTATCGCCATGTAACTTTCTCTCTATAATAGTATAATTTAGATTTTTGAATTATGATTATTCAGCACTGCAGTGGTTGTTATGCTTTACAAAAATGTATAGTGTGCATGCTTTGGTTTTATGTACCAAAAAAAAAAAAAAATTTATAATAATATAAATAATATCATTGTATGGTTTGTTTCTATACTATAAAAAAAATATACTCAACCAATACAAACAACCGATGTATATAAAAGTATTTAGGTAAAAAGTTCTAATATATTATAACATTTTTTAACAGAATACGAGTATATAATATTTTATGGAGGATATCTGAGTTGGTATATAATATAATATATATATATATATATATATATATATATATTATGCATATTATACATATATATAAGTAAGAGGTTGGCGGGTATGTTCGAGAGCTAATACGGTCATACACAAACACTATCTATACCTATGTCATAAGACATAATTTATAATATTATAGCATGACGTCTTGTGTACAGTGTACGTGACCAGATTGTCATATATTGGAATACAATGTAATAAACGCCTATAATATGAGTTCGGCCGTTCGATAAAATTTATATTATAAGACACAATACAAGTTTTAACTATACAATATACATGTTATAATATTATTATTTACCTCAGCACTTTATATAATATAGTACAGTAAAACCTCTATTTAACGAACTTGACCGTTCCTTAATAAATTGAATAGACATTTTTATATATAGAGCTAACTTTTTTTGTTCATTATACAATAGTATGATAAGCAAGGCCCGGCTCAAGGGGTAGGCGACATAGGCTCATATAGTTTTCTAAAAATGCATTATTTAAATCGAGAACTTCGTTAAACAAAGGTTTCATCGTGTAGTTAGTAAAGAGTTTAGAAGATATGATAACATAATAATAATAATTAGGTATATCTATATAATATACGCTCACGAGTAGATGTATAAATAATATAGATATTTATATTGTATAATATTATGCACTTTATAGCATATTTGTTTAAAAAACGTATCAAAGATAAAATAGCGATTTCTAGACCTTCACGATTCATAGTATTTGTTGTCGTTATTTTGAATATATTCTTCATAAATAAAATAAATCTCATCATTAAACACGAAGAAACTTTATGCCGTGAATTGAAAATATTCATATTAATTGATATAATTATTTACGATTTAGGTACCAATTCAAAATAAGTATGCTGTAGGTTTCTGCGGTTTCATGTTTCAATCATATTCAAAGGTACTGCGTCAAGTGCATTGGTACCTAATTTATAATGTCAAATTTTGTATTGAAAAAAACATAAAATCATTTTTGTCCAATTATACACTATAGGTTTAACCACAATGTACAACATAAAAAGGAATTACAGTAAGGAGAGGTTTCTACCCCTTCACGGCCACGCGGTAAATTATTTGCGTATAATCTGTTATGTCCAAAACTATTGATTGCAAAATCAAAAAAAAACTCCTAATGTACAAAATAAAATCATTTGATTTTGAAATGTTTCCATGAATTTAATTACATTATCCAATTGTTTTTCTCTGTAGTGCTAGTAAATGGTATTATAATAATGCAAATAATACTCAAATAATTGAACAACTAAAGTCACGGCATAATAAGTATAATGTACCTATTGACCTCTAATTGAACGTGCCTTATAGCTTTGAGACGTAATAATTTCTTAGGTAGCTACCTATATATGAACAATATAATATCGTCAGTTGTCAGGCCACATAATTGACTGCATAATCATCGGTAGTCGAGAAAGCTTCAGATACGCAAATGTACATGCACTAACATGATACTGCTGTCTATATATTATTATACATTATATTCCTACGTCATATCCCTGTGAGTTTATATATTATGACGTATACTGTATTACTCTAATAAGTAATAACAATATATTATATTATAATTATTAATTATATATAATGAATGGAATCGTAGACATTCCGATAAAGTCTTTTATAGCCACTTTTAATATATATCTGTAGTATGCTTGTATATTATTATCTCGTATCTAGTGTATTTATTATATGACGTGTTGATAACACTTAGGTAACGAAATCTTCTTTTCCTTTTATTATTACTCATTTGAGCGCCCATATAACAGCTGTATGTCTGTATCGCGTTACACTCTATAGTTTTCCATTAAACTTGTTCTTTAATATATTATTTGTCTATACATATAGGCGTTTTGTTTAGAGTACATTTATCCATTTCGATAACGAAATTGGCCGATTGCCATTTTGGAACGTTTGCTTTAGAATTTCTATTTTGAACGTTTTCATGGCCTCTCACTCGCTCATAAAAACAAAGTCAAAAATGTTAAACGAATTCAGGGATTTTTGACCATGCCAATGCCAGGATCTATGAA